TTTTAGTCTGCAAGCGAACTATACCGGCCGAGCGACCGCCGCTTGTCGGCGAAGTTAGTGCCAACTTTTGCGGACAGATGGTGTCGAATGGTCAGCGCAACGAATCCTCTGGTATTCAATTAGATGTTTTAATTGATAATTTCTGCAATATAATTCAAAATGTCATTAAAATCAGTTAGGAAAAATCCGCTATTGTCTGTTTACACATCCAAACAGATTTCGTTCTGCAATTCGCATCCTGAAAATATCAAACCAGAAACGAGGTTAAAAATAAGAAGTAATTCCGTTGGGCATAAAAAATAAAAAACAGTAGCTCTTGTTATCAATAAACTACCCGTCTTTTATGGAACTCTAAGGTTCATTACTGTGAAGTTAACGTAATAAAACCATCAGACACAACTATATTTTAACATTTACCGTATTTTTTAACTTCTGTTATAGATGATTTCATATACGCAAATTTTAAAATATAGTTTTACCAGATGATTTTATTACATAAGTGAAAAAAAACGTAATGACGATAAAGACGTGCTTAAAAAAATTTTAACTTCTTCACAATATCCCGATACTGGTGTCTATCCTATGCCAGATGAATCTACTGCATATTCTAGTTAACTAAGGTGTGTTTAAATATTAACCTCCAGTCTAAACGTGTCTCCTAAATGGGCTCGTCTCTTCTCGTCGTTATTATCCCATTAAAATTACGCGCATATTTCTTGCATATGTGCAACATGGTCCGTCTATCTTATCCTCCTGGATTTGATTACCCTAATACATGGCGGGCCGATCACAGCTGCCGCGTGGTGTAAGGCATGAACCGTCTTCGCTCGCTCGAACGCTGGGATGTTGAGTTCGAATCCCACTCAAAGCATTAATGTCTGTGTCAGTTTATTCTGTGTGTAGGTAGCGGCCTTGAGACGGGCTGATCCCCCGTCCAAGAGTCCTACCGAATGTGTATAGGATTAAGAAACTGAAAAAAAAACGGCCAAGGTCCAACAAAAAGGCCTGTAAAGCCATACAAACAAAACAAACTCCGTGGCCTGTAGTCCGCAAACGAACCATACCGACCGAGCGACCTCCGATTGTCGGCGAAGTTAGTGCCAACTTTTGCGGATAGAGGGTGTCACGCGGTCAGCGCAACGGATCCCCACGGCCGTTAATTTCGGTTTTCTAGACCGGAGCTGATAAGCCATACAGAGATATTAATATCTGCAGAAAAGTACGAATTGTGGAGATAGCCATTATGAAGTCTGCTCCGGCCTCCTGCTGTTGCTTTCTCCCTTCCTTGAAGCACCCAGTTCTCATACACCTGCTAGCATTCTTCTTCCCTTATTGACATATATGTAGTTTCACGCCCATGCACAATCGGTAAAATTATATTCTGGGCATTTTACTTTGTTCGTCTGCCGTCCGGAAAGGCATAGCATCTTGAAATGAGTGACAGCAAGCACTGCCAGAAGTTAATCTGCTCTTAATTTCTTCGTTAACGTAATGTTTACCTGTTACTGTCTCCCCCTTCTCCTCTTTGGTGATGAGATATGGACACATCCATAGCATCTTCGGCGTTTACTTTTAGACCAATCCCCCCCCCTAACGTCGAACACAGATTCTGTTTTACTTTATGGTATTTATTCCACATCATTTTTACATCACGTGCTGATCTGTCTTAATCAATTCAAACCCCTCCCCCCGGTCTCTCATGGACCTTCCTTAATAATAAAAATAATAAAAACAAAAACTTAGGCTGAAATTTGCCCACAAATTTGTAGGGAATCCAACAATTCCCTCTTTAAATTTTTTTTANATTCCATCTTACTTACTTACTTACAGAGCTGAGCCCTTCTTGAGGAGCCGCCAACTGTGCAGCTACTCAAGGACTTCCCAGTATTTTATGGATCTCGAAGGTTCATTACCGTGTTCACAAGAGCCCTCCACTAGCCCCTATCCTGAGCCAGATTAATCCAATCCATACCATCTCATCCTATCTCTCTAAGATCCATTTGAACATTGTCCACCCACCTACACCTTGGTCTTCCCAGTGGTCCCTTTCTTTCCGGCTTTCCCACCAATATCCTATATGCATCCCTCTTCGCCCCCATTCGTGCTACATGCCCTGCCCACCTCATCCTCCTTGACTTAATCATTCTAATAATTCCCTCTGCTCATATAGATCTGACGTGAAGGCCTACACTGTGCTGAAGTTCCAAGAGTTTTTAGTGCTGGCTGTTGTATTGGTGAGTTTCGAAGGATCAACTGCCTACAGAGCAGAGCTGATTGAAACCATTAACTTTTTTCCTATGCACAGAAGAAGTGAGAGGCTTTAAATCTGGTAACTATTCGTCGTGAGTTCTAGCAAAGCATGAAACTCACTTTCTCGGACAAGGTTTTGTTACCGAAGACGGATTCTGTGACGAAAATACGTATAAACACGTGTACACTTATTGAAATGAAAATCCTCAACCGTTCGCAAAACGGGAGTCTTAACGTAAGGATCTCCGGTATTACCACTTGACGATGTCCTCAGATGGCCGAATATGTTATGTCTCTATTAATTAACCCGATCAACGGCCAAATTTAAAATACCAACACTTAAAAAAGGAATAGAATAATATGGGCCAGATTTTGGTGGGTGAGGCGACCGGTCGGCCCCGAAGCCTCCACAAAACAGAAATAAATCCCCGAAGATTTTATTCCGATATCTGCTTCTTCACAATCACGAAAATTTTGGTATATGCATTTTTATTTACTTACTTACTAATGGGGCTTAGCCCTTCTGGAAGAGCCCCCAATTCTGCAGCTACTCAAGAATTTTCAAGTATTTTATGGACTCCGAAGGTTCATTACCGTGTTCACAAGAGCCTTCCACTGGTCCCTATCCTGAGCCAGATCAAACAAATCCATACCACCCCATCCTATGTCTCTTAAAATCCATTTTAATGTTGTTCACACACCTACGCCTTGGTCTTCCCAGTGGTCTCTTTCCTTCTGGCTTTCCCACCAATATCCTATACGCATTCCTCGTCTCCCCCATTCGTGCTACACGCCCTGCCCACCTCATCCTCCTTGACTTGATAATTGCATTTTTAGTTATTATAATAAAATGAAATAAACACTAACAAAAAATATCATAACCAAATTCTGTTGTTACTGATATCCCTCACCCCAAAAACTGTAAACCATGCCCTGATAGTAATTTCACACCAGCGCTTTTCTCGTATTAGACTGAGCACCGTTCGTCCACTGAAAGTTATTCTTAATAGATTTTTATATTTTCATTTCTATTCTCTACAGTAACAAATTCTTGGTAAACAAATGTATGAATACAAACTTCTCTGCAATTATCAGCCCTACCCTTCCGGTAACAAGGCAATGAAGCCATGCATCGGTTTGTGCATTGGTCTCTCTGCTCATAGCAACAGCTGTGCTTGCTACAACTCTTATGTACGCCAACGAACTCACAGCGGTACGCGTCAGTTAAGTGCCACGAATATCTCGAACCAACACGACCCTTCCGTTTCTGAACTGTTTCAAATGTTTCAGGCGTCTGAAACAATCCATTTATATATTTTTAATTCTTCTATACACAAAACACAAATACTGCTATGTAAGATTTAAGGTTCTTCTCACATAGGTGGGTTATCTTCTGGTCCACAACGCCTTTAACGGACTACACGGCGTTATATCTCAGAAGATGTAACTCTTCACAAATAATACTGGTTCCTCGCACTTCACTACATCAACCCTCAATTATTACCCATTTTCTTTCTTTTGATTTTCAATTTTAATTACTATCCTGTTACTTGGTCGGTACTTTAGATGGAATGTAAACGTCAGCCAACAGAATACCTATGCATCTTCGAATCTACCTACTTAAATGATTACTGTTCTCTCGAACCGCAACAATAAGACACAAATGAGGCGTAATAATAAGTTTGTGTGACGGTTGTATATCTACGAATTCTATCAAAGTAACACAGAGAGGGTGCAACAGATGAACAACTGCGTATTTATATTTTAATATTACTTATAATTTTAAGTTATTATGTTTCAACCAATTTAACACGTTTATTCGTTATGCGTCAGAGTTTTACGATTGTTTAATGCTGCAATTTAGGACAGAAATTACACACGTAATCTCTTACTATTTCAATATTTCCTTTTCCACTATTCGTTCACACCATCTGCACAAACTGTTCTAAATTTTAGCACTGAAACAGCTTTGGTGGTAGCTAATTAAGGAAACAGAACACCGCACTGTGAATATTATACACCATCATCTTGAAATAATTTTAATTACTGAAGGCATTGTAATTATTAACACCTTGTTACATACCTGTTTCTGCCTGTTTTATGTTCAATCTACAAAGATGTCGGAGCCAATAACACCACACACTTTCCACAGACAAACTGCCAAATTATTGCAAACAGAACTTCCTTTACAAAAAATTCATCAATTTCTTCTATTTGTCCAGGTATTTTTCACGCAAATTGAGAACATACGAAAAAAACGGATTAATCAACTTAACCCCAATGATCACGAAACATATGCAGACTTCAAACACTTATACACAGGTACGTTATTATTCATTAAATAGTTTGATAATAATTCTTAAGTTGCTGATACTTTACAAATCGATCAGATTTCATTTCGTATCAGACACAACCCGATGTGCTTCCTGCAGTAGTCCACTAACCTCGCATTCACATTATTGCCATTTACCACACTTAACTCCCTCTGACCATACATAACACCACGATCAATAAACAACTGCACGTTGCGTTTTCTGTAGGTTAGTTTGACATGCCTGAAATCCATGTTTTGTCACAACTCACTGGTACGTAAACTCAATCCTCCGTCGCCGGAAGTTCGTAGTGGCAAACATGACAAGTATGTAAAGTATTGGAGGAATCGTGATCACATTGCTAGCATTCTATCGCTATTTCTGCGAAAACACTTTATGTAATGTATGAAAATTATATTGAAATATGAAAGTACTCACCAGAGGGAAAGTTGGACGCCTTCTCAGCGAGTTTGGTGGAAATTAGGACGGTATTTGGTCCGTAAATATGAAGAGTAACTCTGATTTTGGTATGCCAAGAATGGCACAAAGAATCCAGACAACGCATAGAACTACTGCGCACATTTTCCGCGCATGTGGTGACACAAGCTGCAGAGAGGAGATTCTGAAGTTTGATCTACTAGCTCTTCCCCCACTCCATACGTTCACATCTTTGCGTCACGCACCGGTTTGCTTACGTATTGGTAGTGCCTTCATGGGGTGGTTTCGGTGGTCATTTTGAAAGATAAACAAATACACGGACCGCATCTGAGAGAGAGAGAGAGAAAAATACTCCTAACCAGCCATATATGCATACCACGTCTAACATTTCCCCATGTTGCGTATATACAAAGACCATAATAAGTGGCCTGTCATGGCACGGGTCAGTTTTACATGAAATTGTCCATTTACACATTTTTATTGTGTAGACACGGTTAAGGCCAGGTGCCACATAAATGTAATCTAACGCAGCGGTTCTCAAGCTGTTTTTTTTTTCCGTGGCACGCTGTAGCGTGGTTGTTTGAGGTACTGTGCTATAAGCCGGAAAGTCTCGGCTTCGAGTCCCGTTAAGGTGGAGTTTTTCAATTGACAAAATCCTTTCATCCGCACTATGGCCCTGGGGTCGACTCAGCCTCTAACACAAATGAGTACCAGGAATCTTCCTGTTGGGGGGGGGGGGTAAAGGGCGGTCGGCGCGTAAGGCTGACAACCACACCGCCATCTGTGAGCCGATTGTCTAGAGAAAATATGGGAGCCTCGATGTCTCAACCCTATGGGCCCTCACGCCCTGTTACAGGGATACCTTTACCTTTTTTACCTTAAAGCGACTGTTACTATCTCCAAGGAGTTGAGTCGTTCTAATATAATTTGGACAGGGGCGAGGAACGTTGAATGTATCTGAGACACAAGAGGGGAATATAAAATTTTTGTTCTGAAACTCAAAGAGAAGAAAGGCTTGAAATACTAAGGCATGGACAAGAGAACAATAGTGAAATAGGTTTTAGAGAAATTATTGTACGGACGTAAACAGCATTGAAGCACTCAAGATACTGACTACGAGCTTATGTCGATGTGCTGATGAGCCTCCATTTCTTTTTTATAATTACATGATCGAGGAAGTCTCAGTACCACGAAGTGAGATACACAGCTTTTTCTGTATGTGGATAAAAATGCATATATTTATGTAGCCCCACTTCATACTTTATAACATGAGAGAGATTTTCATATTTGTAGCGGTTCTGAATTCCTTGAGAGAACATTTAGGTTTCTACGGAAGATGAATTTTAATGTTACTTACTACTGTATACGGTATTCGAATAATTTATTACCAATTCAACGGGTTTTACACAAAATTTCATAAAGTTATTTTTTCGTAAGTTATTGGCATATTGTCTGGTTATTGTCCATGTTATTTATTCCGGACATTTTGTTCTCCTTTCATGATTGAATAATTTTACCATAAAACTGTAAATTTATATTTTATATTATATATATTAAATCTTCACAGGTTCAATTCCCGATGAGGTCATTGGATTATTTTCAGTTGACCTACTCCTTCCAGCCGCACTAGGCCCTGGGGTTTACTCGGCCTCTAATACAAATTAGTACCAGGAATTAATTAAATAATTTTCCTGGGGAGTAAAGCGCGGCCGGCGCGTAAGGCTGACAACCTTACCGCCATCTGTGA